AAAAAAAAAAAAAAAAAAAAAATAGAAGCTGATTCCATGACCTGAAACCTTCTGTGGACTTTGGCCATTACAGTCAGTCAGTGAGCACTTTCCCTATCTCCTAGAATACATCAGACTTGTACAAGAACCCAGATCCCTTAAGGCAGGATAGGGATTCCTGTGACTTGTGTGAGAGGGAGAGAGTGCAAGGTTGGACTGAGTTGGAACAGCCAAAGTATTGAAGATATGATGATCTTTGGGCAGGAGTGGTGGACAAGAGCGTACTTTGTTTTGGGGTTTGCCATTGCTTCTGAGCTAGTTGGAGTGGCTCCCAAAGAATAATTTTTTTATAATTCATCTGGTCCAAAACTTTTGATAAGCAAAGACCAAAGTCACAGGAAATTAGAATGGATGCTGATCATTTGGAATTAATCCTTTGGACCTGTTGTCTTATTGCCAAAGTTATACTCAGGGAAATTAAAGGTGCTTATGCCCATAAGCCTACCCAAACAATTAAAAGACACCAGGGTATAGATGGCAGTTCATTTCTGAATAATTATAATTGTTTACCTTTTAAAATGTACACATTACATAAAAAATGGGATTTTTCTTTTTCTATTTCATATGTATTTTTTAGCTCCATTAAGAACCTCCCTCCATTGTCTAAAAGCTGCTTTCTCACCTGTCATATATATCTACATTATTTGGAAAGATAGGGAAAGGCCTTATCTCTACTCTATATAGCTCTGTAGCTTTGAGAAGTTAGCTGATGTCTCATGCTTGAGTTATTTCATCTTTAAAATGAAGATGATGAACCCTGCTCTGTGCATGTCATTAGATTGTTGTATAATTTCAAGTGAGACAAGATGTTTGTATGAAAACACTTGGTAAATTGAGACTTTCATCCAAATGACAGGTGTTACTCTTACTCGTAACATTTGGAAGAAAACTGACTTGGAGCATCAGTTTGCTGCACTGTACCCAAGACAACTTAATTTAAGGCCTCCTTTCCCTGAACTCTAAGGTTCATTGTATGCTCAGTGCCTTCTGAACTTACCTAGGCAGAAACAATCTCCTATTGAGTCATAGCAGAAAAGACCATCTGTTTCCCTTATGGTCATCATAAAGCCCATTGTCACCTTGTACATAGGGCTCATACCTATCAATAAGTAAAATGTTTATTCATAATTTCCTTTTTAGTTCTTTCACTTATTGAGGGAAAGGCAAAACTAAGAATTTTCTGTTTTGAACTCACATGGTCATTAGCACCACCATATTTGAGGAAAGGCCTTGTCTCTGCTCTATATAGTCTACTTTTAAAGTACACGGACAACAGTGACGAGATAGGTTGTAGTAGCTCTAACCTTGAAAATAACATAATTGCTATTGCTCTAATTTTAATCACAGGTTGTGATGTGCCCATATTTAAGCTGTTAATTAGATTGTAAAGTATGTGCCAATTTTTTAAAAGAGTGAAGACAGGCCAGTGTTCATTACGTCTTGTGCGTGTTTATGATCCCTTGTAATATATGCATGTTGTTTAAGTCTTATTTCTAGTGTTCATTGCATGTGAAGCTTTTGGAATCCTGTTTCACTATTGAAGTGTTCTCCCAAGTTGTTTTAAAGGTACAGAAGAGTAAAGCAGAGAATAGAGATCTAAATTAGTTTCAGTTTGGCTTTAAATTTTGATGATACATCCAGAATCCATTGGTGAAGGGGAAGACAAAAACTTCTTTTGTTCTCTTAGCCTATCTTGACTTTACTATTTATGTAAGCCTGGAACCTGTCAGGTGTTTGTGATTGCTTTTTCTTTATTACCTGCCTTTGTAACTTCTAGATTAGACTTCTGAAATTGGCTCTTCAGTATACTTGGAAGTACATGGCATGGCTATCTTTATAAGGCTTTGAGAAGATTTTATCCTTTTCTCCTCCCTATTACCATATTCATCCTTCTAAAATAAGATTTTGAAAGTATTTTCCTCCATTTTGGCTGTTTTAAAAATAAATGGTTGAGTCCTCTTTCCCACAGCTCTCACTGGTCATAACAAGCCTGGTCTTCAGGACTCTGCTGACAGCTCACATTCTCCTCCAGTGCCCTGCCACATACATTATTCATTTCCTTCCACTGCCTTTGTTTAGATATACCTTCTACCCAAACACCTTACTTCCTTCTCTCTCCTTTGCTCCTATACCCTTTGTAAAGGACAGTCAGAATTCACCTTATTTTAAAAAGCCTACTCTGACCCCAGTGAAACTGTAAGTTCCTTAAACATAGAGCGTTAGAAATAATACTTGTCTGGGTCACTTTTGTTGTGTTGGACACTGTTTATTTGTCTTTAGGTTTACCATTGCTTGTTCAGAGAACAATTGCAAGAACAATTGTGTTACAAGAAAGCATTGGCAAAGGTCGATTTGGAGAAGTTTGGCGCGGAAAGTGGCGGGGAGAAGAAGTTGCTGTTAAGATATTCTCCTCTAGAGAAGAACGTTCATGGTTCCGTGAGGCGGAGATTTATCAGACTGTAATGTTACGCCATGAAAACATCCTGGGATTTATAGCAGCAGACAATAAAGGTCAGTAATGTGTTTATTCTTATGTTGACTATAATAAAGTCCACATAGGCCTTTTTACAGATAAAGCTACTAAGTATTGTAACTTTTGGTGAGAAAGATGTTTGTTAGACATACGAGATTTATTAAGAAGCAAGAACTTCTTAAAGATTTTTAGCTAAGGCTCCCTAAATCTGCAATTGGTATATGAAATGTAAAAGAGCTATAAAAGAAAGCCATGTACTTTTGTTATTTTAGGTCTGGACAGTTAGTTGAGTATAGTCATAATATGTGAAAAACTTTATAAACTGATTGCTTAACATTTTGAGGTAGGAGGGGCTCATATATTTGTTTCCTTCTCATCTCTTCCTAACCAGTAAGGCATTTTAGTGTAGACCAGTGTTCTTATTTATGAAGAGAGTAAAAATAACTTCCCTGGATATAGCTCACTGGCACAGTGCCTGCCTGGCAAGCACAAGGTCCTCAGTTCGATTCCCATTACCTCCCCACACCCAAAAAAATTCCCAATGCATTGTGTATTCTGAGTTGCTGTGGAAAATAGATTAATCTTTTAAGTAAACTCAGTTAAACAAGAATGATTTTTCCCTAACCACCTTGCCATTTATAACATTTTCTTGCCTGTTAGCACAGGTACAAGACCTAGGTCAGGTCAGATGCTTAAGAAGAAAGGAAGCTGGACTGGGCATGGTGGCACATGCCTGTAATCCCAGCATGCGAGAGGCTTGAAGCAGGAGGATTGCTGCAAGGTTCAGGCTGGCTTGGGGTATGTAGTGAGTTTAAGACCAGCCTGAACTGCATAGTAAGACCTTGTCCTCACCACCTCGCCCACAAAAAAAGGGAAGAGGAAGAAGAAGAGGAAGGGAAAGAAGAAGAAGGAAATGCACATTAGTGGGGATGAGTGATGATGGTTGCAAGCAGTAACCTTAGACTCGCCCTCACCTACTTTCTTGGCTTCAGTTAATAACTATATGCCCACAGTTTCCACTTCTATCACTTCCATCAAACATTACATTATGACTGACCATCCTCATCCTGAGTGAAGTGTATTTCCCAACTTGCCCATAGCAGACCTATAGTCATCTTTTTCCTTCCTTTCTCTTCCCATTTTCTTCAGCAGTACTTACTTCTTCAAAATATCAACAGTATTTAATCTCAAGTGAGCAATTTTTATACTTTTGGAGACAGGGTGTTAGTATGTATGGTTTGAGCTGGCTTCACTATGTCATCTGACCTTGAACTTATAGTGATCCTTCTGCCTCAGCCTCTTGAGTACTCAGATGACACACATTTGCTACCACACCCAGTATGATTTTAAATTGTTTGAAGCCAACCTGTATTTCTTTTCATCCATATACTTTGAGCGTACTTCTCTGCATGATAAGGAATCTCTTTTAGGAAACAGTTATCCTACCATTGTCAATTTTTGAAATGTCAGAGTCAAATGTCATATCTGTTCAAACTTGTAATTGTGTCTCCTTCTCTTAAAAAGAAAGAGCCAAACACCATTTGTTCATACACATAGGATTGTAAGCTCAGATGTTGTGTTTGGTGGATATTTCTCATGTAACTCTTAAAAGCTTTAGGTTTCCTCTCCATCTTTTTTTCTTCATTGTTGTCTATTTGCTTTAAAAACCAAGTTGTTCGTACTATAAATTACACTCTAATTTATTTGAATTTATATAGCATCATTTAACTTACTGTTCTCAAAACTGGCAGTTAGATTGATTGATTGATTGATTGATTGATTTTGGGGGGTTTTGGGTTTTTTTTTCCAGTACCAGGAACCGAACTCATGACCTTGCGCTTGCCAGGCAGGCCCTGTGCTGCTGAGCTAAATCCCCAGCCCCCAACTGGCAGTTAGATTTAGAGGCTGAATCTGATTGAGGTACTGAGTTTATTGGTTTCCCCAAAATACATACCAGATATATTGTATTCTTCCTACTATATCATGTCAGGGAGCACATAGTGTTTAATTAGAATAGATACAATGATGAATCTAGGCAGTGCCCATCAGTGACTATTAATGATTCAGTATTATTTATTTAAAAACAAAACAATTAAAAGCAGTACTCCGAATCTGGCCAAGTCCTTAGTTCTCATTTTCTCAAACCTTTGATACCATTTAGCTCCTCCCCTAATTCTTGAAATAGCCTTTTATTATATTTTGTGACCCATTTTGATTCATTCTTATTTTGTAATAGTTACCTTTTCAAAGTCTTATTAGTCTTCTTAATGATTTTAGAGAAGGCTTTAATCTACAAACAGTAATTGTTTCCTTAAAGGACTTACTCACATTTATGGTTTGAAACTGCCATGGTGGTGAGGCTCAGATCTACATTTTGAAGCTTAAACTTTACCTAGTGCCTGTATGAGGCACATTTCAGGCTGCAAACACATAGGCACGAAGTACTGGTGGGGCTCTTGTTCCCTGAACTTTCTCATAGAAGTTGTTCAAGCAGCAACCAAGCGGATGCTGTCATCTGGTGGTCACTGTAGGAATTAGCTGACCCTACTGAATCTTCTCAAACCCTTCTTTTTTGTCAGGGGTTAATGTACTTTGCTCAGAATCCAGCCGTTCCACTCCAGTTCCCTTTTCCTTTAACTTCATCCTCCTGACTTACTTAATTCCACTTCAGACAACCCTTTCAGTACATCGCCTCTTACAACTTCTCTTCTGCCTCTGGTCGGTTACCTCAGAAAAATCTCCTTTTTCTCCATCTGCCCACTTTTATCCTTTATTGCTTGTGTTTGTGACCTTTCAAAATTCAGTCATGGTTAATAGGCATGCATATAAAGTAGTGAAACCTATGTCTAGGAAAGAAAAGGTACAATTTTGGACAGTCAGTTTCTATAATTTATAAAAAACAAGTGAATAAATTAGTATCCTTAGTCTCTGTATTAGTCACTTTGCTATTGCCTAGCAAAGTACCTGACACCCCCAATATAAGGAGGAGAGGTCTATTTTGGCTTATGGTTTCAGTCCATCATTGGCTGTCCATGGCAGAAACAGCAAGGTGGAAGGGCATGTCAGAGGAAGGTTATTCAACCCATGGCAGCTAGAAAGAAAGCAGAGAGAAGGGAAGAAGCCAGGAACAAGAACACAGCCTTTCAGATCATACCCCTGTGACCCACCTCTTCTGACCAGGGCCCACCTTCTAAACAGCACATTCAGCTAGAAACTCATGAACTGATTAATCCACTGATGAGTATAGTGACTGCATGATCGAATCATCTTCCAAAAACCTGACCTCTGAACAAATGAGACATTTAGAGGGACATTTTAGATCTAAATCATAGCATTGTGCCTCTGGCTCCCAGAAGACTCATGTCCATGTTATTATGCAAAATGCATTTAGTCCATTTTAAGAGTCACTAAAGATTTAACAGTTTCAGCACTGCTGAAAAATCAAAGTCCAAAGTCTGTTCTGAAACTCAGGGCAAACTTAGCTATGAGGTCCTATAAAAATAAGGAAGTGAAATACTTCCAATGTATAGAATACAAATGTCCATTCCTAAAGGGAAGAATAGCAGGAGAGAAAGGAATTGGACCAGAACCCAGTAGGGTAAACATTAAATCCTGTAGCTCTACGTGCAGCACCTGGGCAGATTGTGATGAAATGTGACCTTCAAAGAGCTTGGGCAACCCCTCCCTTGCAGCCTTGCTGGGTTGCTGCCCCACTGTCCTCTCTGTTTTGCTGATTCTGCTCACTGCCTGTGGTGTTCCTCAGTGGATGTTCCACATTCCTGACATGTCCAACTTCCTGGGGTCTCCACTGAACTTTTGGCTTCACTCTCACAGTTTCATTAATCACATTCTCAGGGGCATATGGCCTGACATTTCAGGCTTTCCTTTGAAGTCTAGATGGAAGCTTCCATGACTCCACAACTCTTGTTCTACTGTCTGAAAAAAATCACCACCCATGTGAGTGACACTAAGATCTGTCATTAGCTCAAGCAGTAGCCTGGCCCCCATAGACTGTGGCTAGAGAGGCCTCTGAGTGCCTTCATTGCTGAACTTGGGGATATACTTCCCTAGGTGGTCCTGAATGATCAGGATGCCCAGAGGCTGTCCTCTCACAGCAAAATTTAAGCCATCTGCTCTTTTACAACCTTGAGCCTACCGTGCGTGGGGTCTTGCCATTTCCTGAGGATCTTGTTGTTCCTAAGGGATCTTTCCTATTGTCCCAAGGCAAAGATTTGGCTTCTTTTTAATAGCACTAATCTTTAAAGCAACCACACTCTAATTGGCACCAACATTGTAGGTGCTTTCTTCTGGCCAAACCACATTATTCTCAAACCTTTTGGGTCTGCCTTTTACCCTTGATTATTGTTACAAATCTGGCTGAAAGTGGCCAGTCAGTACCCTTGCCACAATGTGAATGTTGGGCTGCATTGAAGTTTCCTCTGACAGATTAATTAGTCTACCACCTTTTAAACTCAGCATCACACAAGGTATTTGGGCACGGATAAAATGTTGACAAATTCTTTGCTAGAGTGTAACACACATAGCCTGTAATCTACTTCCCTAGTAGAATCCTCATTCCCAACTAAAACCTGAGCTTGGCATTTACTATCTACATTTCAATCAACATTCTGGTCTTCTGAGCTCCAAATAGAATTGCCCATCAGGTTCTACTTATTGCATTCTAGGGCTTCTCTAGCCTACATCCCTAACCTTTCCAAACTCCTCCCACAAACCAGTTTCTAACGCTTCTGAATCATGTGGTCAGGTACAGTCATAGCAACAGCTTCACTTGTTGATACCAGTTTTCTATATTAGTCACTTTCTCTTTGCTGGGAGAAAATACCTAACACTGTCAACTTAATGGAGGAGAGGTTTATTTTGGCCCACAGTTTCAGAGGTTGTCTGTGGTCAGCGGGCAGAAACAGCATAGTCACTTCTAAAAGCCCAGCCTCTGAATACATGAGACTTGGGGGACATTTTAGGTCTAAACCATAACAATCTCTTTAAGTCCTTTTTAAAGTACCAAAAATCCCTTCCAGAATCTGAAGTGTTCTCATCTCCTAAGTTCTTCTGATTAGTTCCTTTTCTTGAGGAACAGTCTTCAAATACACAAGTTAAAGTCTTGGAAAATAAGATATTATAAGATATTATTCTTGTATAAAAGAAGAAACAGATCCACTCGTTTAGATACTTGTTGAGGCCATATAATCAATAACAGGCAGGCCATGAATTCCAGCTCAGGTCAAAATGACTCAAGTGCATATCTTTTTAATTGTGCTCTTAATGTTACAGTGTTTTCTTTTCTTCATGATTTAATTAATATATGGTATTTCAGCTACTTCTAGGTTAAATATGCTGCTGTGGACCCATCTAGCGTAGGAGCCTAGTTAGCATTTTTACCATTACTCCTAGTGAGAAAACACATTGCAAATTTATGTATCAGCTTACAAAGGGAACTTACGGAAGCCATGTTTCTAGTTGTTCAGGTTCAAAATCGCCTTGTATAAAACTAGGTTCAGTCCCAGATTTCTCAACCTTTTCTTGACAGTTTAGTTTTCATCACAGCTTACCCATGTGTCAAAGATAACACTGTTTTTGTTTTTATAAGTTAGCAAGCTTGGAATCATAATCATCTTGTCTAGCATCTTTGTGACTTATGTGTACATTGTGTCTCTAAAGCTTGTCATTAGCTTGTCACTTCTAACTGAAGCTCATTTCGGGTTTGTCCCATACTATTCTGTTGTTACTGTGGCCTTACTGGGCTCCCCTGATTCCCGCCTCACCTCCGCTGGCCACGCACAGGAAACAGCTGCAGAGGTACCTTAGTCTGATCTAGTTTTTAGGCCTTTGCATCCCACACCTCTGCTACTATCTGTATAAGTTATTGTCTGTGGACTACTATTTGTTGTCTCTTAAATAGGGATAATTACACATGCCTTATCTCAAGAATAAGGGGCTTACTCAGTGGTCTATCTATGAAAGTATATGATAAACAGTGTACAAGAAAATGTGAAGGAAACACAAACTTAAGGTGACATCTAGTTGAAGTTGTGTGATTCAGGATTGAGAGTAAAACAAAATAACCTTTGAATCAATAAATCATAAATGTTATATAACCCAACTGAAACATTATTATTTTGTTTTGCAGACAATGGTACATGGACTCAACTCTGGTTGGTGTCAGATTATCATGAGCATGGGTCCCTTTTTGATTACTTGAATAGATACACAGTTACTGTGGAAGGAATGATCAAGCTTGCTCTGTCCACAGCGAGTGGTCTTGCCCATCTTCACATGGAGATAGTGGGTACTCAAGGTAATTCTTTAAACAGGTCTATTACTTAAGCTTTAAATTCCCACGAATCTAATGTCTATTCAAAATTAAAAGTCAGCTTAACTACAGATATTTAAAATGGATATTTTAGATGAGAACATACTGTCTGTTAAGTCTCAGATTTAGGAATGTGGGAATTTACTTAGAAATTCTCTAGTCATTGTAACAACACTGATGTTTTTATGAGTTTTTAAAAGTAGCATTCAGCGAAATAATAGGTAATAGGAAGTAGGGAGATCTTTTTCAAATGGGAGAGGAACAAAAGATGAAGGGAAAGGGAAGGTGAGCAAAAGGCAATGGGAAAAAAAAATTGAATTAAAAATGGAAATAGAGCTTTTGCAAATGAGAAGGGAACCAGAACTGGAAGGAGCAGGGAGGAATGTGAGGGACAGGGGATGAAAAAAGAATTAAGGCTGGGGAGGTAGCTCAGTGGTGCAGTGCCTGCCTGCCTGGCAAGCATGAGGCCCTGAGTTTGATTCCTGTTACCAAAAAACAAAACAAAGCAAAACAAAATGCACACACACACAAAAAAGAGAGGAAATAAAGGAATTAAGATTTATGTACATGTACTAACTCCCCACGATAAATATAACCACTGTGTACGGCAAAAATAAATAAATAAATGGCCTCATTTTTAAAAAGTAGCACTCAGTTTTTGAGAATCACAGTTTAAGAAGTCAGTCTGAGAATGTATTTTTATGTGTAATATCAAATGAAATAAGAAAATACTTTTTAAATGACATGCTGTATAAATACTGTCTGGCACCTAGAATTATTTTCAACTCTGAAGTAAGACGATATGCAATAGTTTTACTGTTGATAAATTAATTAGGAAGTTTTGTTTGTCCCCCAGATCTTAAAACAACTTTTTTATATTCTATGAACCTAGACTTTAAAAAATTTATTTATTTATTTCGAGACAGGGTCTTGCTGTGTAGTTCAGTCTAACTTTGAACTTAGCCTAGGCTGGCCTCGAACTCGCAGCATTCCTCCTGCCTTGGCCTCCTGAGTGTTGGGATTACAGACGTGTACCACCATACCTGGCTTAGACTTTTTTGTTTCTTAATAGTTGTGTAGTTTTCTCAGAGACTTACTCTTCTTACTTATCTGTACGAAGGCTCTATTTTACAAATAGAAATTGTATGCTGTGTTATTTGTGCCATGTAGGGTGTCAGATGCTCTGGTTTAGCTGTTGTCCATTTGCTGTCTGATGGCTCTCTCACTCCTACTCTACAACACATGTGCTCTTTCACATCCTAGCTCCATCTGTGTTGTTCATTAAAACAGCTTTTTTGAATTATCTTTCACATATCATAATACCACCCATTTAAATATACATTTTATTGTTTTTTGAAATAGTCACAGAGTTATGCACCATCATTACAAATTAATTTTAAGACATTTTCATTACCTCAGGAAGAAATCCTGAAGCAATTATCAATGATTCCCCTTCCTCCCCAAACTCCTTAGCTAGAGACAACCACTAATCTGCTGTCTATAGATTGCTTATTCTTGACATTTCATGTAAGTGGAATCATAGGATATATAATCTTTTATGATTTGCTTCTTAGCATGTTTTAAGTGTTTGCCTAAGTTGCAGCATATGTCATACACCATTCATTACTTTTTATGACTAAGTAATATTCTTTCGTCTGGATATATACACCACGTTTTAAGTATCCTCTCATCAGCTAATAAATGTGGGTGGTTTCCAGTTTTGGTTATCATAAATAATCTTGCAGTATACAATAAGTGCAAGTTTTTATATGGATACATGCTTTTAGTTATCTTAGATATATACCTAGGAGTAAATGGCTGGATTGTAACTGGGTTTAATGGTTTGAGGAATTGCAAGGCTGGTTTTCTTGAACTATTATAACTTTCTGTCATCAGTTTGTAAGGGTTAAAGTTTTCCACATTGTAATTATTATTTTAATAGCCCTTTTTCTAGTAGTTCCTATTAAACATAATGTATTTAATATTCAGTGCATTCTTGAAATGGTAGGAAAGGGAAGTGATCTGTGTGCTTGGTTCCGAGGTTGGAATATCAGTCTGTGACTAGGGTACTTGTAAATAATTTATAAAATACTAACAAATATCAACAGTTAACTGTTTTCACCCCTAGTCTTTGAGTTTTTAGATTTACCTTATTTGAGCATCATCTTTTGGATCATCTTGTTTTTGCCATTTTCTTTAAACAAAATGGAATTTAGCAGTGTTTGGTATATAGTGATTTACTATTTCCTAATCACCTGGGTGTGCCGGGTGAAATGCTTTCATACTGGGACAAGAAGAGGCCTTTGAACTTGAAAGAGAGAATTGTGATTAATATTACTTAAATAATTGTATTTAATTTTTGGTCCTTTAGGAAAGCCAGCCATTGCTCACAGAGATTTGAAATCAAAGAATATCTTGGTGAAGAAGAATGGAACCTGCTGCATTGCAGACTTAGGACTGGCAGTAAGACATGATTCAGCCACAGATACAATCGATATTGCTCCAAACCACAGAGTGGGAACGAAAAGGTATACTTGTGAATAAGTGGTGTTCAATATATCTTGAAATCACTTCTTTTCCTTTTCCTTCTAATCTGGATATACATATCTTTTCTGAAGCTCAAATTTATCTTGTTATGACAATATAAGTAGGTCTTATGGTCTTGCCAGTACTGAAGCCCAAATTACCTGACTTAAAAAGATGGCCTACTGATCGAAAGACAGTTCTTCCAGATAGTGTTATCAACCAGTTATGTTAACTATAACAGTAACAACAATGTTTATAGGGTACTTAGTACATGCCAGGTAGCTTAGTAGGCTATTTAACATATTACCTTATTTAATGTCACAGTCAAACACTGTGCTGTAGGTAGGTCAACTGTTTTCATATTTTCAGTTGCTAAAAATAGGCCTTTCTCTCTTCCTTAGAACTTTTGTATGTGCTATGTCCTAAAATGTACTTTCCTGTACTGTTTCTTAACTTGTACCTTTCCTTTCTCATAGGAAACCTTTTCTAGTCCTCAAGAGTCTTGAGTATTCCTGCCAAGGGCTCTCATAGCATGCTGAAGGCCATTGAGGCGTTTACCATGTTATATTGTAACTGTTTATATATATATATATCTATATATTCTGTTAGATTGTAAACTGCTTGAGAGCAGCCTTGTATTCCCAGAATTCTAGTCCCGACTATGTGGTAGATCCTCAATAAATATTCACTGAGTCTATAAGTTCTCAAAAGAATATAATAGGTAGGCATTATTACCATTAATTCACAGATAAGGAAATCACCTCATGGAGGTTAAGTAATGTGATCACCCTGTGGATGATAAACTGAAGAGCTAAGATTTCTAACCTAAAGCACTTGCTTTCCTTAATCACATCATGTCACATTTCTTTAAAACTACCGCCTTGACTTTGGAGATAATCAACAACTTTAGCCTATCAAAATTACATTTATGATTTCAGGATTCAGTGGGAGGACTTTTAGAACCCTTTACTGGCTAAGGGACCTGCCACAGTGTTTGTTGCAGATATTTGTGGGTCCTGACCTGTAACATTAATAGGGTTTTTGAAACTTTATAATGTAGTATCAGTATGAGTACTGTCATTCATTTTGATCTATTATGTTGTTCCCCAGAGTAGTATGTCCCAGCTCCTTCTCATCCTATTTAATAATAGTGAGAAGCCTTCCAGGTTAAATTATGTATTCCTTGCACAGTACATGAGATGTACATTAGAGTATTTGCAATCATTATACCTATTATATGTGTGTCTTTCATTGGAAACTAAGATCACAATTGAAAATAAAACTGCCATTTGAACATTTTGTGGTATTTATATCATTAATTTGCAAACCAATGTGGATATTTAATACTTTTCTTGAATTTAATATCTCAGTTATAATAATACTCTGCCTCTGTGTGTGTGTGTGTGTGTGTGTGTGTGTGTGTGTGTGTTTCTGTCTCTCTCGGAAATTGGTGGCTGAATGTTACCACTGTGGCAATAGGGGATGCTTTTTACTGTGTACTTCATGTACTTGGAGAAGTTTTTATAAACGTCAATCACTTGTTAAAATAGTAGAACCATGCTAAAAAGGGAAAACTTTAATAGTGATTGTGCTTTTAAATTTTTTTCTCAGCAGTACAAGAAAATGTATGAAACATTTTAATAGTGTGGCTGCCATTCAGTAAAATAAAATATTGACTTCTTTTTTAGGTACATGGCCCCTGAAGTTCTAGATGATTCCATAAATATGAAACATTTTGAATCTTTTAAACGCGCTGACATCTATGCAATGGGCTTGGTATTCTGGGAAATAGCTCGTCGATGCTCCATTGGTGGTAAATTGCTCTCTCTTTCCCCAACAGTTTGTCATAAGCAGAAGTTGTTAAAGAATTGTCTCTTCAATGAATGAAATTCTGTACTTCAACAGACTGACAGGTGACACTGAGAGTGCCAGAGAAAACAGGAAATAAAACCTGGAGTGAGGTTTGGCATGTCAGCGCATGCCAAAGTACAGCTTTACTCTGTGTCTCCTCCTGTTTCATTTGAGTCCTGGGAAACATCAGAACATAAGCCATGTTTCCTTGGACTGTAGTTAGAGTGGACAGCGCCCCAAGAAGGCCACTTGTAGTATGTGCTTAGGTCAACTTCTTTTCCTTGAGCTTTTAATTGGTTACTTTTTCTAGGTGATTGTTGGAGAGTAATGCAGTTATATTACATTATTTTTTAAGTATGTTAATTTTCAATTTTCATTTTTAGATTGAGCGCTTGGCTGTGTTCACTTGAAAAACAGTGACTTAGGCTGTGGGCTCCACACTAAGATCTAGGACCTCAGTTTTTTGGGGCAGTGCGGGGCAGAATATGTCTTGGTATTGTAGCAAATAGAACATGTTACTGACGGATGCAGACAGAAGGACTTGCACTTAAGGCTTGCCATGTAGAATTCATTACTCACTGAGAGAGTATATATCCTATACCCAGCGAGAGACTGCGCTCACACAATAAAATCTCATTTGCCGCACAGTGGACTAATAGGAGAAAATGCCAAACTGGTCATCAAAGATCACAGCCATCATTTAAAAAAATCTTTTGCTGAGCTCATGGCAGTATTGAGTTTTAAAGTACATACGCAATAGTGAGAAGGTTGATGTAGATGTGGGTGAAATAATGAAAACGGTCAGCCTTGTTCCACTTACCTGATTTAATAATAGGACACTGTAACACACCTCTTAAGTGATCTTTCTAATGGTTCGGCATTTACTATATAAATTCTTCAAAATAAATTTTTAAAATTAATTCAGGAATTCATGAAGATTACCAGCTGCCTTACTATGATCTTGTACCTTCTGATCCATCAGTTGAAGAAATGAGAAAAGTAGTTTGTGAACAGAAGTTGAGGCCAAATATTCCAAACAGATGGCAGAGCTGTGAAGTGAGTATTTCTTTTTGATAAGAGGTCATTTTCTAAACTGTTTCTGTTTACTAAGCAGAAATTTGCCCCTTTTCTTAAAAATAAGAATTCTCTTCTCTTTGTTTTCATGGTGGTTAAACCAAGGAGATGAGTAGAAGTAAACAATTTGGTTTTCATGTTCAATTTCAAGCACATTGAAAGGGCCATGGAGCTTTTGCAGTGGCCTTCAGTATATCTGATGGTTGTTAGATGTGCAAAATGAAATAAGTGAATGCCTTCCTTCATCTGGAGCAGCCCATATCAGTGCCCTGAGTACGAGACAGGAATTAGGAGACTTGTGTTCTAGACAAGCCTGGCAGGTCTGGATTTTACACAGGTCACTTCACTTCTCTGGAACTGAATGTCCCTTTGTGACTTGAATAACTCACTAAAATGATTGCAGAGCAGCTGCAGATGATTTCACAGATGATTGCCCAGATAACTATTAACCAAGAGTTTGAGGAAAATGCTCTCCCAACAGTGTGAGCTTCTCATTCCTAGCTCTTAGAAAAAGCCTTAGAAATATTTTCTTGCAAATTTAAGAAATTTATAAACAAATTTAATTGCCACTGCTACTTTTATGGTACTGGTGAAACAGATTGAAGTTTTGTAGCTTAGGTGTAGTAATAAGCTGGTCACTTTAGTAGTTGATTTTACTTCTTAAAATGATGTAGTACTCGATAGAGACTCTAGTATCAAAAGTGCACTACCATTCTCCAGCCCAGTGAACTATCCAGCCCAGATACAGCATACTCAGAATTTATATGTGGCATAGTTGAAACTCATCAAGAATGTGAAACTGATAGAATACCTAACTAAGTCTCTTGAGACCCTTCTGTTTCCAATCTGGACTGGTTGCTTTTAAGGTCAGATGTACAGCTGTTATCTTGGGATGTCCCTCATCTGTCATCTTGAGATTCTCTGCCTTTGGTGTCGATTCCTCCTTGGATCTGATGTTGTATTTTTTGTTTATTTGCTCTGCTCATTTGGCTTTCAGTTTAAAGGTTGTCTTCTCATTCAGACATGACCTCTCTATATTTAAAATAATGTTCACAGGACTGGGGATATAGCTCAGTGGCATAAGCACCTGCCTGGCAAACAGAAAGTCCTGAGTTCAATTCCTAGTACCAAAAAAATAAAAAAAAAAAATTTCAATCATGTTCACCTTCCTCCTGTGAATTATTTTTTTCCTTAGCATTTACCATTGTGTGATAGTCCATGTATTTTACAGTAATTTATGTATCTGTGACTGAGCCCTCTGGAATGTAAGCTTTATGAGGACAGGCTTTTATCTGTTCACTGCTATATTCTTTTTTTTTTTTTTTTTTTTGGTTTTTCTCCGGTACCAGGAACCTAACTCATGACCTTGCGCTTGCCAGGCAGGCACTTTGCCGCTGAGCTAAATCCCCAGCCCCACTGCTATATTCTTGGGACCTAAAATAGTGTCTGCTATACGGTAGGCATTCAGTAAATATTGCTGGCACATGGTCCTTTTAACCTGGAAACAGTTTTTTTTCTAAAACGTGTTCCTGAAGTATCTTGAATTGCTTTCTCTCTATCTTCCTCTGTTCTGTTTCTTTAACCCTCATTACTTAAGTGTTAGACCTCCTGAAGAAACCTTGTAATTTTCTTATTTGCCCTCACCTCTTACTCATCTCTCTATCTTTTTTTCTTCACCATCTGGGAGGTTTATCACCCTTGTCTTGCAGTTCTTCTGTTTACTTTTTCCATTCATGCTTTTACATTTTTAATTTCAAGTAGCACTTACTGTTTTCTAAATACTGTTTCCATTCATTGCTAAACATTAATTAGTTCATAACTAGACATTTGAGGGAAACATTTAGTATGAAGTACAGGGACTGAAGCAACTTCGAGTAAGGAGATTGTCCAGGAAAAGTGAAGTATGGAGTATATCAGTATTTTCTTTTACCTCTCTGAGAATATTAAATATATATAGTATGTGTGGTGTGGGGATGGAACCCAGGGCCTGGTACATGCTAGCAAAGTGGGCATTCTACCACTGACCTGTACCTCTTGCCCTAATGATAGATTTTTGTTATGTTGTTCTCTGTAGTTTCTTTTCTCTAAATTGCTTTTTTTTTCTCCATTTCATATTACTTTTCTTGAATGTATGGTAAGACTCTTTTTAAGTATAAAGAAGGGCCCAAAAGCTGATGGGAAACTCTGTGTATGGTAGAGCTTACTGACTGTCTCTTCAGATAACCTCACTGTGCTGCTTTCTTCTGACACCCTTCTTTAGATTGTTCCTCCTGGGCTGCTCAGATTTCCGAAGATTCTTGGGCTGGAGGAATATGTACAAACTGCTGCCCGTGTTTCAGGGAGAAAGCTTACAGTCTTAATGTTTAGTATGTTTCCATTTTACCCTCATGTTTTCAAGGTCCTCATGTTTCTTCCTGTCAGACTGGGTTATAGGTGGATAGTCACCCAGCTGCATAAATTTTGGGGTAAGACAGGTTTCTGGGGTTCCAGCTCTTTGAGCTGATCCCCGTATTCCTTATGTTTTACCATGAGTTTCACCCTGGAGATGCTTTATGTGCTTAATTTCTCAGTTTGGAGGAGTCTCAGTGTGAATCAGATTCCTTTTTGCCTTGCCCATTGCTGGGTCAAAAGTTAACTTTTCAGATCTACCAAGTCACCCTTTGTCCATCTGCTTCCTAGAAACTAGCACTAGTACCCTATTAGTACTGGTCATTTCCATTCTTTGCTCTTACAAATAATGCTCAAAACAATATTTGTGTAAATACATCATTTTAAAAGAAAATTTATAGGTAAAGATTTTTATTCAGCTCGATGAAAAAGTAGTACATGCATTAATAATTTTTCTTGTATCTTCTCATAGGCCCTGAGAGTGATGGCTAAAATTATGAGAGAATGTTGGTATGCTAACGGTGCAGCTAGGCTGACTGCTTTGCGGATTAAGAAAACACTGTCACAACTCAGTCAACAGGAAGGCATCAAAATGTAATTCTGCAGCTTTGCCTGAACTCTACTTTTTCTTCAGATCTGCTCCTGGGTTTTCATTTGAGAGGCCAATTGTTCTACCTCACTGAGAGGGAACAAAAGGATATTGCTTCCTTTTGCAAGTCTAATAAGGTCAATTAAAAACTTCCCAGGATTTCTTTGGACCCAGGAGACAGCCATCTGGGTCCTTTCTGTGCACTATGAACGCTTCTTTCCCGGGACAGTTACAAAATGTTGTATAGTCTACCTTTATTTTTTATTAACAAAACTTGTTTTTTAAAAGATGATTGCTCGTCTTAACTTTAGGTAACTCTGCTGTGATGAAGATCATCTTAAGGGCAAAGGAGCTGGACTGTTGAGTTATTTTGAGAGAAAGTGATTTACTCCTGGTTAGTAGTACATTCTCGGAGGATTCTGAACCACTAAAGAATTTTTTGAGTCAGTCTTTGAATGTACTGTTCTATAATTTTTCAGGATCTTAAAACTAACTCTTATCTTGAGTCTAAAAAGGACCTCATATAGTAGTGAGGAACATAATTTATGCAATTGTATTTTGTATACTATTATTGTTCTTTCACATATTCAGAACATTACATGCCTTCAAAATGGGATTGTACTATACCAGTAAGTGCCACTTCTGTGTCTTTCTAATGGGAATGAGTAGAATTGCTTGAAGTCTTTGTGTTAAAACCTGTAGTGTTTGAATTCAAAAAGTTTATTTATCTGAGTAACTCAGACCTGTTCTGTTTTGTTTTTTGGAGGGGGTTTTGTGGTATGCCATTGATAGTCCATTTTGAAAATGCCATTTTCCTGCCAAAATGTGCTTGAACCACTAAATATGCTGTGGCATAAGCCAATTATTACCATGGTCATGTTGGAATATTCTCCTTCAAGCTTTTAGAGTTCGGTTGTATTGTCTGAGTATAATTTAAAAAGTCAAGTGGCACTCTAGATGCTTACAGTGCTTTAATAAGTTAATGTTCATAGCATACAGACTAATTTTTCTATAAGGGAAGGATTGTCTAGCTGCTTGTGAAAAGTTGTGTGGTATTCTGTAAGCCATGTTTTTCTTTATCTGATCAATGACAGTGTTATTTTTTTAAGAAATGAATTACATTTAAAATAGAATATGGTTAATGTTAAGTAATAGGCCTTTTTTTAGAGAGGCAAAGGTAGTTAATAATTCAAATAGAGAACAGATGTGTGTGACAGTCACACTTGTTATGTAGTGTAAGTGTTCTGTGGGTTCTCTGTCTTTGTAAGGTTAACAGTGTAGTTTTGAGGTCTCACTACACTTTGAGGAAGGCAGCTTTTAATTCAGTCTTTCCTTATCTCATGTGTGCAGATGCTGCAACTTTTTAATATACATGGTTGCATAATAAATTCAGTGCACTCTATATGGGGAGAGGTGGTAGCTAGAGAACATTCTGTATATAGGTTCTCCATTTACAGATGTTCTCAGTCAGATTAAATGTTTAAGATAAACTTGTCATGGTCTTCTCACATCAAGTTAAAACTGTCTTATGATTACTGGTTTTTACCTAAGAGTGCTGTAAATGTAAAGTCTGCAGGACTTTTACAGTTCTCTAAGTCCTTATATCACTGTGATCTTACTCTGAGGGGGGAAAAGTATCATAGCTGTGAGACAAGACTTTGACTTCATAGTGCTATCAATTCCCTGATAAGAGGGGCAGAATAACCTTTACAGTATTTTGGTCAGGAAGAAATTGTGGCCATTTACGCTGAATGAGTTGCGTTCTGATAATGTCTTATATCTTATACATAAAATAAATTTGAAAGACTACTTGGTCTTAAAACCAAAGTAATTCTAGAAGGAATGACATATTACATAGGAATCTAGTATCAATTTTATGTGTTTAAAAACATCATGGGGAAAAATGTTCTTAGAGGCTACTATTTTGACTACAGTTTTTTTCTGTAGTTACCATGATTTCATTTAAACAAATGTTTGAGAGGTTTGTTTTTATAGTTGTGTTATATTACCTGTTTGATAATCTCTAGTTCTATAATCAGGTACTTTTGGGGGGGCATTTCTTAAGCCTACAAGATCTGCTTTATGAAATCCAGGGGACCAATGCATTTTATCACTAGAACTATTTTTATATAATTTTAAGAACATACCAAAATTTGTCTGATTTAAAGTTGTAATAACATGATTTCTCACTTTCATATAAAGTAATCAACTTTTGCTAAAGATAGTCTTCATTACATTAAAGGTTGAGTTGCAATTATACTATTCTTGTCAAAGTCAATAAAATGTACTTTTTATAAATCAGGGAATTTTTTTTTTTAAGTTGGAATATAGTTCTAAATTGAGTTTATGTATTACTGCATCTAATTCCTATGTTGGCTAGGGACAGCTTGAACCCCAGTTTGTTAACACTGAAAATGAAAGTTACTTAAAAGATGAAAGAGTTCATGATTACTGTGGCCATAACTGCAGATAAATTTGATGGGAGTAATACTTTTTATCACTTAGAAACATAGTCTTTTGTTTATATTGCCTATCCTAACATGCTCACCTTCAAAGATTTAGCATGACTAAAATATGTCCTCTGGCACATCATTTTGTCAGTGCCCCAAAAGAGTGAGAGCCGGGCAAGTATGACTTCTTGGGGCATAGATCTCCCTGGCCCTTCCTTCCTTCATATCTTTAGCTTTCTCCTGACGTAACTTCCTGCTGGCCCCTGTTTCACAGACCATTGCCTTCTACCTGTATCCCCAGCCTTTTGACTGAATAGTTGCTTTTGAGACCCCGGAGTAAAATGGTTGATGGAACTTACGGGAAATACTTCCATTTCCTTGAATTGTTGGGTGTGTCAGGGCGGGGTCTCCCTATGGAGGTGAGGCTTGGGGTGTGCCTACTAGTTACCCTGCTTTGACTTTAGCCAAATACAACAAGTAGGGTGGCAGGTGCGATGGTGGAAGTTGTGCCAGAAGCAGTGGCCAGAGTTGTGTCCTCTGAAGGACAGTCAGGCCTGAACTGCCAAGCCTGTAATTCTGCTGTAATGATAGTGCTCAAGAAGTGCCTTGAGTTGGTATACAGTGCCATGGCCGTCAAGAATTTCAGATTTCAGTTCTTACTATAAATTTTAAGTCGCTCAACCAATTGCAGTCTTGATGAGCTATTTTTTTTCTGTATGTGTGAGACCTGTCAGATGTAGACTGTATTCTAAAACAAACGACAAAGTGCTAACACATGTAAAATCAATATTGTATTAAACATATCAGACTTGCTGTTTTTCCCCCGTGCACTGAAGGAATGATTGTAAATCACCTGGTTTTTTTGTTTCTTGATTGTGGCAGTGGCTCTAAGTGGTGGAGATTCCAAATAATGGTTCTGTTACAGCTTAGCAGAAAAATGCTGAATTATTTTGAGATCTTAAAGAATAGCACTGGACAGGTCCTGCCATCTGTTTTGGAATGCTGGAATACAAGCCCTTTCTTGGAATGCTGGATTCCTAGGATGTTAGGATTGTCAGTATATTATTTTCAATCTCAGTATTCAATCTAATTTGTAAATGTAAGCTTTCTAAAAAATGTGGTTAATTCAACCTGTTTCTTAAAACTTTAAAAGAACTTCAGTAAATTTGCTTTTGTTTTTAATAAGATTTTTGTGAATTAAGTATCATGAACCATGTTTTGATATCCCCTTTTTCACAATGTGCCAATGGAATGGGGTGTTTGATATTTCTTTATATGTCAAGGAGATGCTTCAATATGTCAATTGCTTTAAACTTAAATTACCTCTCAAGAGACCAAGGTACATTTACCTCATTGTGTATATAATGTTTAATATTTGTCAGAGCATTCTCCAGGTATGCAGTTTTATTTCTATAAAGTATGGGTATTATGTTGCTAAATTACCCAAATGGTACTGTACTGTTTATATTGTTCCCCAAATAACATCATCTGTACTTTTTGTTTTCTGTATTTTATTGTATTTGTGCAAAATTCTTTTGACTTTCTCAGTATAATCTCTGCCCTTTCAGATTGTACAGAAAATCTCCATATAAATTTTCACTTGTGTTGAATGATTTTTGAGAAGCCTGTAAAGGAGAAAAAAAACATAAATTGCATTTCCCCATAAGTTTTTAAAAATTGTATATTGTATTTGTAGTAATATTCCAAATGAACTGTAAATAGGAAATAGGAGAGTGATGTTTATGTTAAGTCCTAACACTACAGTAGAAAAATGGAAGCAATGCAAATAAATAACTTTTTTTCCCAAATGCCAATGATTCCATTCTTTTCTAGAGGGTTAGGATGGATAAACTTCTACACACAGATGGTTGGCAGACTTTGTTCAGTTCCAGGAGGCTGTAGGAGTAAGGTCTCCATTTCCTTCCTGATCATTGGCTAGGGATCCCCTTTGGTATCTAGAAAGCTACACACATGCCTTGGCTTGTGGCCTCTTTCCTCTTCCTTCATGAAAGCCAGCCACAGCTGGTTGAGTCCTTCTGACATTACCTTTCTCTGATCACCCTTCTACCCCATGTCTCCTCTACTTCTCTTTCACTGCATCTCTCTGCTGCTTTCTTGCTGTTCCACTTTTAAGGAAGCTTGTGTGATTATTTTAGGCTTATTTGGATGATCCAGGATAATCTCCCTAGTTAGTAACTTCACTTTTTATCTATACAGTCCTTTCACAGCAGTACCAAGATTAGAGGATAGGACTCTTGGTGTTATATTTGCTTACCACAATAAATCTGTTTTCTTTAAATGATATTATACTTTATAAAGCAATAATTATAACATGTATTGTGGAGTTTACAATATGAATATGGTATATAATAGTGGCTTTAAATCTAAGGAGGGGATTAGCATCTGAGTGTTCCCCTAGGATACCATGTAGTTGGTTCTTGCTTTCATATCCATGCTGAATAAATTTCCAGGCTCATTAAAATCCTAGATATTTCTAAAAGAGGAAATACCCAACAGAGCTATATTCTATTGAAATTACATTAGCCTTAGTCTGGAGATTATGATAAATTGAGATGCATATTACTACAGCTTGTAGATCAAGCACTAAAATAATCACTTAAAAGTATATTTGGAAGTCACTAATATTTAACATAAAAGAAAGGGACAGAGAAGCAAAAAAGACAAAAATTTAGAGGGATTTACCTAATCCTACCAATAATTTCATTAAATGTGAAAACTGAACATTCGAATCAAATTGTCAAAGTAGATAAAAAGTAAGAATCAAAACTATGATGTCACAGAGGCACTTTAGATTCATACACAGCTTGGAAGAATGGAATGATACATACCATGAACAGTAACCATGAGAGACCTGGAATTGCTATATTCATATCAAAGTGAGCTTTGAGTCAAGAAATATGACAAATAGAGCAGGATATTTGACATGATAAAGAACTCAACATATCAGAAGTATAACAGTTACATATGCATCTAACAGAACCTAAAAACTACAGGAAAATAATGATTGAAAGAAGTGGGAAGTTCAACAATATTTGGAGATTTTGAAGCTGTGCTCCCAGGAATTGATAGAACAACTTGATAGAATCACTGAGCACATAAGAAAATGCTGTCAGCTAATTTGTCCGGCCATTTATGTAACACCACCCAGAATAGCAAAACATACCTTTTCTATTATGCATAGATCATTCTCCAGGGAAGACTATGCCGTGCAATAATACAAGTCTCAGAATTTAAAAAGATTGAAATAATACGTTCTCCAGCCACACTGAAATTAAGTTAGAAGTCAATGAGGTATTTGGCAAGTCCCCAAATATTTATAAATTAACATACTTCTAAATAACTGATGAAATCTTAATGGATAATTTGAAAACTTTATTTAAGACGGGGTCTTGCTATGTTGCCCAGGCTGATCTTTAACTCAGCCCAAGTCATCCTCCTGCTTCAGCCTTCCAAGTAGCTGAGACTACAGATGTGCCACAATGTTTGGTTAAAAATAATTTTAGCGATGAAAATGAGTACATATTAAAATTTCTGACACAGAGTTCAAGCCATGAATTCTATAAGAAATTCTATAATTTCTCTAAAGGGAAAATTACAGTCTTTGCCTATCTTTATAAATTACAGTCTTTGCCTATATTTATAGAGGACATGATGACAGATACAAAAGTTCTAAAACACTTTATTAACTGATTTGAACAACAAAAGGTTTATGTGCCAGGACAAAATGATACAAATCTTTGGCTGCAAGCTTCATGTAACCTCCAGAAATCTTTTAATATATTATAATCCCACATTAACAAGCAATGATAAAACTTGCATAGTCAACAATTACAAAGAAAGCATTTGACAGGATTCAATATCCATGATGAAAACCCCCAGTGGAACCAAATAGAACTCTAAGGAAAAGTTTCTATAAAAAGCCCACAACAAAAACTGGTGAAAAACAATGCTTCTCTCCTTAAATTGAGAAGAAGTTAAGAACGTGTATACTTGCTCTTTCTATTCAGCATTGTAGTGCAAGGTCTGTCCAGCCCTCTTCCCCACAAAGTGGCTAAAGGCATTTAAATTAGAAAAAAAAAAAAAAAATGAAATTGTCTTCATAGTAACATGATCTTGAAAGATCCTAAGGAATCCATGCAAAAGCTACTAGATCTAAAACATTTAGTAAGGCTGTAGGATACAAGATCGATATTCTAAAATTGAAATTATATTAGCAGTAGTCTCATGATTAAAGCCACTCAACATGAAAAATTACAAAAATGAATTTACGCCACTGGAAAATACTGCTGAGAGATTAAGATAAAAATAAGTAGAGAAACCTACGTTCATGGGTTACAAGGCTCAGTGCTGTTATGACGGCAGTTCTCCCCAAAGTCGCTGTACAGATTTAACTCAGTTGCTATCAATGTTTGATCAGTGTTGTCCTAAATTGACAAGCAGATCCTAAAACAATGGAAATACAAAGGATCTAAAATAGCTAAAATAATTTTGAAGAAAAAGAACAAGGAAAAAATTATCCAATTTTGAAGCTTACTATAACACTACATTAACCAAGATAGTGTTTGGCATAAGCTAAGCATTTATAGAGATATAACAGAATTAAGAGTCAGTAATGAACCCTTATATTTATGTTCAATTGACTTCTGATGTGTGTGCCAAGATAATTCAATGGGAGAAAAGACAGTCTTAAAGAGTGGTACTGGGATGATAAGATGTCCCTATTTTAAAAGGAAGAGAAAGAGAAAGAAAGAAAAAGGACCACCAGAAAGTTAGATCCTTACTACATTATAGACCTAACAGCACTAAGGCTGTACAACTTCTAGAAGGAAACGACAAAATCTTCATGGCTTTGGGTTAGGCAAAGACTTCAAATGGCACCAAAAACAAAACCTGAAAAAACAAACTGATAAGTTGTACTTCATCAACATTAAAATCTGTAGGGTTTAAAAAAATGTTAAGTGACAAAGACTGGAAAAATTTTATTTATACTGAGAATATATTAGGAACTCTTAAAAATCAATAAGACAACCCAAAACATGGGCCAGAATTTGATAAACATTTCCCCAAGAAGATACATGAATAGCTAATAAACACAATTCTTTATAAAGATTATTGATAAAGTTAGAACCACATGAGAAGCCACTCCATATATATTAGAATGGTCATTTAAAACAACAATCAACAAATAATGTTGAGGAGGATGAGGAAACCAATGATTGCTGGAACATAAAGCCGTACAGCCCCTTAAGAAAACAATTGGCAGTTTCTTAAGCATAAATCTATTATATGATCCAACAATTCTAGATATCTAGGCACAATAAAATTCCCAGATAAAGTACAAGATTTTGAATTAAATCTGAATGTCAGATAAACAACAAATAATTGTTTAGTGTAAATATGTCCAAGGTATTAAATGGAATATATTTATACTTTAGAATATGTGCTCATCTGACATTTAAACTGAGTATCCTATTTTTTACTTACTAAATCTGGCAACTAATTCAAGTAAAATGAAAGCATATCCAGATGAAGGCTTGTATGTGAATGCACATAGCATGATTCATAATACACAAAAATGTTCATCTAAATGGCCGTCAACTGATGTATTGACTTAAAAGCAGGATATTTATAAAATGGTGTATGAACTATTGATCTATGTCGAACAAGGATAAACCTCAAAACCTTGTAGAGGTGAAGTTCCTTCCCCCACCAAAGATTAGCTGAAATAAACTAACAAAATAACTAGGAGACACCTAAATTTATTACATGCATGGAAGAAAACATCTAGTGTAATTAAGCACCAGCCCCACACGATTCTGAAGCTTCTACAAGATGTGATTGGAAAATACAGTGAACATTTAAATTATGAAAATGTTTGTTACATAACACATTGCCATTAATTCCCCCTCAAAATACTCTGCCTTCCTTTGAACACACTTATCCCCTTGATTTTGCCACTTTCTGAAGCATTGTGGAAGTTCTTTCAGGTCTTCAGTGACAGTGTCATAAAGAACCACTGTCATGGCTGCCTCAGTGTCCTGAATGAATTCAAAACATTCACCTTTCCTGATCATTTTGACTTTGGAGAAGAGCCGGAATTTACAGGGTGCCATATCTAGTGAAGAAAAAAGGGGGCACAAGGACACAATGTATTGCTTTTATGAGCCTGCCTTGCCATTGGTTGAGCAGCATTCACGTCTTTTTTATCACACCTCGTAAAGACATGAAAGAGGACCTCTAGAACTGCTTCAAAAAGGGCGAGAATGATGAAATAAGTGTGCTCAAAGTGAGGAGGAGTATTTTGAAGGACGATTAATGGCAATGTGTCTTCAACTGTTATAAATGTTGACATTCACTTTATATTTTCATCATCTCTTGTATAACCTTTTTCTATAAGAGAGGAGAGTGAAGAACATATACAATTTTGAAGGGAATCACACATGATTTTGAGGGGAATTTGATGGACTTGAGAAACATTAATAGCCTGGGAAGTCCTTCGGCCTGCAGAACAGATAATGTATCGTAAATAATTCTCTTTGGGAATATTGAAAGGCCCTGCAATCGAAGGCAGTGGAGTGTGACAACAGTCTCGCCAGGTGTGCTGACAGGTTTGTGCAATGAGTTCGGGTTATAGGAGTTTAGTTAATGCAAGGTCAAGAAAACGGCCAGGGTCATTTTCATCCTTGGCAGCTTTGGACTGTAAGCAGATAAGGAGATGGACAAAAGCTTATTTGGGCATCCACTGTTCTCTAAGTGCTTTTAATTAAAATAATCAGAATCTCAGAGT